CCCCCCCCCACCGCGCCATGTCCACCTTCGACGAGGATCCCTTCGGCGACCCCATGCAGGACGAGTCCCTCGACCAGCAGCAACAGCAGCAGCCCGAGGAGGTGGACGAGTCTCCCTTCGATGGGGAGGACGCGGCCCTGGCGGCTGATGACGCCTACTGCTCGGACGACGTGTCGTCCATGACGGCCATCGCCGACCGGTCGGCCTTCGACCCGACCGAGAGCATCGTCGCCCACGAGTCCTCCTACCAGCCGGAGGAGGACACCGAGGAGACCCTCAGCCCGGCGGCGGCGGCCGTGGCCGCCATCGCCTCGGCCAAGCCGGCCCCGGTGGCCACCGAGAAGGAGGAGGCCCCGGCCGTCGAGGACATCGCGCCCACCTACGCCGTGACTCCCATCCTGGACGAGACCACCGATGCGGTGCGGCCGGGTTTGCCTTTCGCCTTTATCTGCTCTCCTCTTGCCCGCTCCCTTCCGGGGGGCCCCCGCCTCGGGGGTCTTCCTTGTCCCTCCCTCTGACAGCCATCCCGCCGGTTCGCCCCTCCACCCCCTCCCCCCTCGGCCAGTCCGTTGCCGACATCCCGACCACTCGCCTGACCGAGGTTTCGATTCGCGTGCGTCTGCTTCTTTTTCTCCCCCCCCCCCCTCGCTCCTCCTCCTCCTCCTCCTCCTCCTCCTCGGACCGGCCTCCCCGGCCAGCATGCTCCCCTCCCCCTGCCACTGACTCGCCGGTCTTCCTTCGCCACAGCCGGCCGCCTCGGGGGAGTATGCCACGCCCCCGATCACGGTGCGCGTCTTCGCCCCGGAGAAGATCAGCGAGGGTCTCAGCAGCTACGCCGTGTACACCATCGCGGCCGAGATCAACTCCCCCAGCTTCAGCAAGACCTCCATCAAGTGCCCCCGGCGCTACTCGCACTTTGACTGGCTCTTCAACCAGCTGACCGCCAACTACCCGGGCCATGTGGTCCCCCCGATTCCGGACAAGGACGCCCTGAGTATGTGCCAATCGCCGTGCCTGGGGGCTTCGCCGGGGCTGTCTTTCCTCTAACTCCCCTCTTCTGCTCCCATCCCGTCGGTCGTCCCGTTTCTCGGCCCGGCCCCCCCCCCCCTGCCCTCAGATCGCTTCGATGAGAAGGTCCTGGAGATGCGCCAGGTGGGCCTGGAGCGCTTCCTCCGTCGGCTGGTCACGCACCCGGAGCTGCACAAGTGCGAGGAGGTGGTCCTCTTCTTCGAGTCGGACGACCTGGACGCGGCCATCAAGTCCTGGTCCAAGCGGCCGCCGAGCCTCGGCGTGCCGGCCCCCGCGCCGGCCCCCTCCTCCGGCGGGTTCTTCTCCTCCTTCACGTCGAGCCTGAGCACGGCCATGTCGAGCGCGGTGCAGAGTGCCAGCTCGTCCTTCGCCAAGTTCGCCGATCCGGACCCCTTCCTGGCGGCTCGGCGCAGCCACATCGAGATGTTCGACGCCCGCTTGCAGAACCTCCACCGGATTCTGCTGCAGTTCGAGAAGGCCCACTCGCAGCGGGTGGCCCAGATTTCCCAGTTCGCCGGGGCCCTGGAGGCCGCGGCCCAGACCGAGAAGGACGGGTCGCTGGCCGGTGGCGCCGGGCAGCCCGGCAGCCGGGTCCTGTCGCAGGCCCTGGCCGAGCTGACCGCCGCGCAGACCCAGTACGCGGAGGCCTTCGCGGCCGGCTTCAGCACCGGGTCCACGGCCATCTCGCACTGTGTGCATGACTACATTCGCTTCTGCGCGTCCATCATCACCGCCTTCAACCAGCGTGCCAAGATCCACCACGGCTGGCAGACTGCCCAGGCGAACCTGGAGAAGGCCCGGCAGAACCTTGCCAAGGTCCGCTTCACCGGGAACACCCGCAAGATCGAGGTCGCCGAGCATGAGACCAAGCAGGCGGAGAAGGCCTGCGAGGAGGCCCAGGAGCAGTTTGAGCGTGTGACCAAGACCCTGCGCACGGACCTGGACCTGTTCGACGCCCAGCGTCTGGATGACTTCCACCTGGCCATCGAGTCGCTGGTGTCCCAGCTGATCCAGGCCTACGAGACCATCATCGCCAAGTGGCGGGAGTGTGTGGCCGCCCTGGACCAGCTGGCGGCCTGAGCGAGTGTGTGTGTGTGTAGGTGAGCCGGGGAGTGTCTCATCTCTCTCTCTCTCTCTCTCTCGCTCTCGTTCTCGCTCTCTGTCTGCTTGTCTCTCTGTCTTCGGCAGGCGACCGCAGGGGCTGGGCTGTTGAGAAGGGCCCGTTCTTCCCGTCTGGCCACGGCGGGGTGCCGCCGCGCGGAGGGGGGGACGGCACGGCAGGCTGCCGCCTGTGCTGCCCTCCCGTTTGCCCTTTGTGTCTGCCCCTTGCGCACATGCTGCCATCCGACCCGCTATGCGGGTATCCGGTCGGCTTCCTCCCTTCTCCCCCTGCGCCTCTCTTCCTCCTGTGTCCCCTGCAGCAAATACCACCTAGATCCCCGGTTCCTTGCCCTCATTTCGGGGGTCCGCGTCTTTTCATGTATGCGCGCGGGGCGGCTGGCTGTGCCCCGGTGCCGGTGGACGCGGCTTGCCTCGGCTCCGCCGTGTGTGTCTTCTTGTCTGTATGAAAGGGTGTATTCTACGGGGGGGGTGAGGAGGGGCCCTTGGCTGCCGCCGGGAGGAGGGTGCCGGTGTTTCGGCTGCCCCTCGGGGAAAGCAACAGACAGGGAGAAGGCGTGGCGGGGCAGGGGG